TTGAACTCCTTCGAAACGGCTCGACCGATTTTCGTGAAATTTTGTGCGCATACCGGCCAGGGTGAAGAATCGGACAGCATTATTTTTCACCCCCTTAAATGTTAAGGGTGGTCCAATCCAAACTTACTTTCTACCCTACAAATAATTTATATGGCAAAACAACGTTTGCCGGGTCAGCTAGTTATTTTATAAAATTCAGGGTTGGTTTGCTATACTTTCCACTATCAGCCACTCGTACGTGTTTTGAATCTATCAGCGTAGGCAGATATCATTGTAGGCAAAACTGATTGCGTTAAATCAGAGAACAATTGTGCATTTACCGATAAAATTAAAAATTAATAATCGTAGAAGTTTTGGTTATACCCGCGTAGCTTATTACGTTAATACTACACGAAATTCTCTACGAAGGAAAAATACACATCATTGACTGAAGAAAATCGTTATTTTTTAAAACTTCAGTAACTTTAACATTATTTTTTATTTTAGTTTTGATTACATTATTCAGATAAACAAAGTGTGTTATATAATTATTAGAAATCTATCCAGTAGTTTTGTGTAATGGACGTAAAACGGCAGACTTCTATTTGATCAGATTTTAAATTTGAAACCACCTGTATATTGCCACCGAACAGCTGTTACAGTGGAGTACACTTATGAAATTGAATATTTATCATAACGTTCACGATACCGCAGTATCTGTTATTGTAAGAATAATGTAAATGAAGTTAGCTTCAGAAAATAATATTACCCGCAACTATACACTATACATATATATATATATATATATATATACACAGCTTTACACTATGTTTCTAAAATCATGTTGCAAAATTATTCGATTGTTCTTATGGCTCGGCGGGGAAGTTGCTATGCTAATCGGCGGGGACGTGGGCTCGATTCCCACACGGGTCAAGTATTATGCACCCACAGATAATTGTTCCAGATCTGGCGGCCTTATCGCGTAGAAGCGTTTTGTTCCAGGCAACCACGTTGCAGAGGATACAATGACCAGTAGGAAGGGGTTGAGGGGTCTACGCTATTGTAAATATAACTCGAAAAGCTGTTGTTATAAACACACACAATGTACATTTATTTATTTATTCTTAATGCACACAAACTACAAAGGCAGACTTAATACCATAGGCATTATCTCCCAGTCAACCTTAGGGTGGTACAGAGACAGTGAGGTAGGTGCACAGAGAAAAAAAAACTGCATAAGAAGATTACTACCGAACATTGCATATACACAAAAAAATATAAATAAATAAATATATATGACGTAGTTTTATTTTATAAATAAATACGTATTATATATACTTATAAACATCCAGACACTAGAAAAACGCTATGTTCATCACAAAATATTTTCCAGTAGTGGGGATCGATTCCACACCCTCTGGCGCAAGAGATAGGTTGACTATCCACTACACCAATCAGGTCTTCAAAAAAAAAGGATAAATTGATAATAATGGTGTTTGATGGTGTGGATATGTGCGAAGCGTTATAAGAAAGAAAGAAAGAAAGAAAATACATTTATTTAAAAAAAAAAAAAAAAAACGACGCACACAACAAGAGAGAAAAGGAAAAAATAAATTTACCCACGTATTCGGCATTCGCGGCCTGACGCTCTAGCCACTGAGCTAAGCGGCTGATAGCCACAGCGACGAAAATCTTAACGCCTTCTTTCTACATTGCTATTTAGCATTTGAAGCAATGCTTGGCGCATCTATTGTTATATCCTTTTCAGCATACAAACAATTTCGAATATCGTTTTACAACGATAATTCGAAGGAGAGATGTCGCCATTGCTTTTATAAATTTTAAAGTTTTTTATAGTGCTATTTTCTACATGTTTTAATGTTCAATCTTAAATGCAGAGATTAGCACTAAAAAAACTTTAAAAATCTACATACTTATATATAATACAGTAAAACAGTATAACAGTCCGGGCTGTCTAAGCGTGGTGTTCTTCATTTAGTACGTCTGTTCAAAGTTTTAATAGTTCAACTCTGTGAGTTTTTAAATTAGAACTACAGTGTCCTGGTTCCAAACAACTAGTATAAACAGTGTCTGCTCTATTATTGAAAAAGTAGTATATGACTATACACATTGCCCACTGCTGGGAAAATGTAGGTGAAAGAAATCGTAAACAAACGAGGACGTGCCAATTATAGAAGAAACATACGAGTATATTGGACAATTGAACCCCTACTATATATGTCGAGGGGTAGCTTAAAGTCCTTTCAACTGTGCCAGTCTTGGAGTTATAATGAAGGAGAATTAAACTTTGGTTTTAAACAACCATCATTAAAGTTTCACTTAATAGATAGCGAGACGCGCGTAGTGTGACCAAATTGCATTGAGGCGAAACTCTTTGAATATGTCGGCCTTAATTATTTGATTATTTTTTGGTCGTAAAGTGTATTAAATTGAACAGATAATTTTTTTTTATGTGAAAAAGTGGCAAACGAGCTGGCGGGTCAACCGCTGCCCACGGATATTTACAACACCGCGTAGGTTCGAAGATGCGTTGCCACCTTTCAATAACTTGGGGCCCGGCTACCTCACTCACCAGACGAAACGCAGAAGTGTAACACTTCTACTTCACGTCTGTCTTCTGTGAGGTCGTGGTACTAATCCGGACGGACCTGTACATTTGTGCAATAGCGAACACTGTTGCGTGGCCGTACCACAGATAAATATCATAACTATAAGCAATTTAAAATAATAAATGCATGCAAACCAAAAAGTATTTAAGCGCTTATCTGGCGCTACTAGACGACTATAAAGATAGATTTTAACGTCATATTCCATTCTCCTACTGTATTGAAATTTAGACAGAAAATCCCAGCGTATCATATTTCGAAAAACAACACTTGCACAGCACCGTTGAATTATCGTAACTTTTATTACGTTCAATCAATTCTTAAATTGTTGATGAGTGAACACAAGGCCCCTATGCATCAACGAATCAATCAAGATTATTTTTCAAATTTGTTTTAATTGGTTTTCACCAGTTCACAAGTTTCTGTTTCACATCACTTTACGACACATAAGAACTGTGCTGGTAATGTATGAACATAAATATGCATATAAACATAGCATATTCTTTTTAATTTAGTTCATTCAGTTTCTTCGACGCATTTAAAATGCATTTTTTTTATATCTGTTCTCTAATTAGTCTTTAAAGTATACACGTGTAGATGTGTTTCTATAATAATGAGCTATTACAACATTACAACCCTCGGGTGTAGCAGATGTGCAATGGCGGTGGTATTCACTTAACATCAGGTGAACCACCCGCTCGCTTGGCAACTTTTCAAAAAAAAAAAAAAAAAAAAACACCGCAGCACCATTCTCAATTATAATCAAACCTACTGCTATATTAACGACCGTAGGGAGATAAATTCCGCGTGTAAATTAACGTTCCTTAGTTTATCGTTAGTTTGCTTTTCAATTTAAAAAAACCATAATGGAACCAGAATGTATCCCCAATAGGAGAAATATCCAACGTTTGTTCAGCAAGGCATGGTCACCTTTTCGAAACAAGCCGTCAATAGACCCATTGACCCGCATTAATCGAATCATGAAAGATTCCCCCATGTAAGTGATGTACAGTGTTTGTCCTGCATATGTCTGCCCTTACGAAACTAGCGATGGATCTGCAGCCATTGGCCCATCTCGGGACCGTTTCACAAAAATTTTGTCATGTCAGTAACATCTAATGTTTATCCTGCACGCCTTGGTCAGCCTTTCAAAACTAGCGGACTGCAGACCCTTTGGCTCGCGTCTTTTTTTTAACATTGCCCTTAATGTATGATAATAGTATATTGTCGTAAAGACGTTTTATATCCGAATTATCTGCGGGCCACACAAATAGTTGTCCCGTATCGGATTCGAACCCACGATCCCTGGCGCCAAAGCCAATACCAACTACACCACGGAGTTCTGGAACGTATTACGAAAGAATAATTAATCCCCCATGTGAGTAATATTACTCACATTTGGATATTCAAAGTCTGTCTCGCTCGGCGTGGTCCGCATTGTTACCTAACCTGTTCAAAAAAATTCTCCTAAAACGATACAAAAACCCGGTAAAATTCACGAAATTACAACCACCTCCAATAGGAAGTTTTCCTAAATGAGAAACCTCCTGAAAAACTTCCATTGTAAATTTTTTCTTCCTAAATTTAGGAATATTCCAAAGTTGCAATTCGTGTGGTCACCCTTGCGAAGCTGGCGGGCTATAGAGGCGGCCGCTTCCGTCGCGGCCCTTTGTCCGCTGGAAGTAGGTCTCTCATTGTACCTAGGTGAGAAGGAGGCACTAGGCGCGCGGCCAGCGCGCTTTTGTTATTCGCATCGCTGCAAATTGAATTATGTAGATGACCGAATGCGCTGGACGCGGTTCCGGTACAAAATTCTAAATTAAACGCTAGTCGTTGAACGTAATTATTTCTTGTGCTTACTAGCTGTGGGATGTAGGCGTCAGTAAATATTAAAAAATGTTATTTAAATATTTATAGTGTTAATCTGTTACATATATATATATATATATATATGTATACATTGTTATATCCTTTTTGAGTAAAATACATCCTATAATAGAAAAAATACAATGTACTTTTAAATCCTTCACTACATGTTTTACCCATGATGTTTTGTTTAGTGTGTCTATAATGCTTTTATATATGTCCTTTCAGTTTATTATCACGGAGGACACATTTTTATATGGACGATCAAATGTACGAAAGATACTTTGCGGCATTAAATAATCTTGGATATTATTATGAAGCTTTAGAGTTGAATACGAATACTTTCAGAAATTCATAAAGTAATAATACGAGAATATCCAACGATACCTAAACTATTTACAACTCGCACCACTACCAATTCAAATACACATGAACGTTTCAAATTTTAATTTTTAAATTAAAAAATATCGATTAGGTCCGTACAAAAGATACGGTGGCTATATGTGCTACTCAAACATAATACGGGGGATGAAAAAAAAGCCTCGAAACCCCGAGAGGAATGGAAAAAGGCGTCCCGATATATCAAAAGACAGCCGTCACCCGCGCAGACACACCCTGCGTCGTCTAGTAATTGATTTCCACCCCTCAGGAATGCTGGCCTGTCGCGTATATGCCCTGTACAAGAACTCATTACCCCTGCGCACGGTGCTGCGTGCCATCAGTCGAGTGGCTTGTGGCTTAGTTGTTGGACTAGCAGTTCACTGGTTCGTATGTCAAGGAGTGTTACGCTTTTCGGGCTACTTGTGTGAATGGCAATCGCATTTGATTCCCATGCGCGGCGTTATGCTCACCACCTGTTAGGCTGTGACCTTAATTGTGCTAAATAGTATATACGATTAGTGCCTAAGGTATTAATACAGTTCGTGGTAAGAGAGAACTGCTGTCCAAGGATACGCACAGTGTTTAAAGGTCATTATAAAATTGTCAAACTAAAATTGTCACTAGATGGCGCTAGCCAATTTGTAAGTCACCCTAGAGAAGTGTACTTCGAGATAGATTAAGTATTTTTTTTGGGAAAAATAACAAATAAAAATAACAAGTTCAAGTTCATAGATCATGTAGGCCAAAACACACAGTCAGAACGCCAAAGAAAGAGTGGTCAAAAGTATAACAATATTGCTCAACACCGATCATCGGTGAGGGCTTGGTACTTCCTCGGTAGAACTAGCTGATTCGAGCAACAGTAGTTGTTAAGGAAGCTGTGATACCTGGATCACGCTCAAAAATTGTTAATTATCTTGTTTCTTTTTTTAAAAACAACAATTCCCGTGCGATTTTTATGATCTGAATGGATATCGCCAATGGTATGCCGTGATAGCTCATTGTCCGGGCGCTCGCTTTTAACTCAATATACTCGAGCAACCTGAGTTCAATCCCCGGTGTCGGTACCAATGAAATTGTTAATTCTAAGTGCTGAATTACGACGTGCTCAACGGTGAAGGAAAACTTCGTGAGGCAACCTGCATATTTTCGAAATAATAGCAAAAAAATATGTGGTGGACCATGCTCTTAGAGCAGAGGAGGCCTTTGCCAAGCAATGGGCCATATATAGGCTGTTACCTTACATTTGATATCATTCAAAGAATGATTACATGAGAATCGTCATACGAGTATAAGTCTATTAAGAACTAGCCTATCCCCGCGACCTCGTCTGCGTTGCTCATTATATTAATAACAATACAACTTGCTCCACTTTTCTACGGCATGAAAACACATTACTGCTTATATAAGCACTAACACGCAGTGCTTATAAAACTGTTGTTTCTTAAAAGTTTAATAACTACATTAACAGTTAGGGGCGAAGTGTCTAAGAAATGACATTTGATTAATTTAAATCTATACTGTAGTATTTCCTTGATGCGTGAATAACTGTAGACCTCTGTCGTTTCACTACATAGCATAAAACAAAGTCGTCCCGCTGTCTGTCTGTCCCTATGTATGCTTAGATCTTTAAAAGTACGCAACTGATCTTGATGCGGTGTTTTTTACTAGATAGAGGAAGGTTTATATGTATATTCAAGAGGCAGGTTTATATAACACATTGCACCCGTGCGAAACCGGGGCGGGCTCGCTGTATTCTCGTAGAGTTTGTTTGTGTGACCTGACTGATGTCCCGGCAAACATACGCAATTTAGTGTGAACAGTGCTTAGTCCGTAATTAATTATTCCGGTAATGGGTTGTTGGCAAGCGGCAAGACATCTCGGATGCTGTAAGCGACTCGGAAGGAATGTGAGGGTTGTTGCTACAAATGCTGAGTACATGACGTAACCTTTGTTACCATGAATAATAATGATTGTATATTTTTAATGAAAACAGTAAAATCTTCCGGGCGCGGTTGTCGTTTTCGTTGTGTTAAATTCAAATTCAAGATACCTTTTTCAAATAGCTTGCGCGTTGTTATGAAACGTCGAATTTTACATAGTAAACTAATAGATAAGATCGTAAGTAAGTTACCACCGGTTCGGAAGGCAGTTTCTGTTTAAGAGACCGTCAAGAAACTCCACATTTGCTCTTTTTTTTAAAAAGATCAGATCGCAGTATAACATAGATATGAACAACAATATCCTTATTTTAATCTACGTGAGTATCAACAGTATTAACTCCACACATTGGCGTCGTCGAGATATTCCGTAATGGAATATATGCTTTAACGTGACTTTGAGAATGAAACAATGAAACAAAAGGACGGTGTTGTGTTTATGTGAGGATGTAATCGTCATCGCAGGAAATCATCCAACCACAGTAGTAATAAGACTAGTTAGTCTTGAGTCTACTAAGTATATAGTATATAGTCGCATGCACAGCTGTGCATGCAACTCAGTCCCAAATTTAAGCAACGCTTGTACTAGGAGTACTAGGTACCTGATAAACATACTTAAACTTACTTTTTTGTACATAAATATGTATATACGTGTTATGTTAAAGTTATAGGTGAAATGGAAAATCCATTAGGGCCATGCAACGGCATCTGCTGGTGGTCGAATGGGCAGATTATTCCGAAGGAGTGTCACAGCTTCACAGGAGACTAGCGTGAACTGGGAGTGCTATACTTCTGCGACTCCTCTGATGAACAACGGGAGTCCATTATCAAGGTTGACAACGCTTTAGGGCGGCGGTATTCATTTAAAATCAGATACTCCACATGAAAAAAATATATCGGTATTAGTTATGAAGTGACGTACGGCCGGTTTCAATATACAATCTACAGATAGTAATAGTTACTGGAGATAGAATTTTGACAAGAGTAATATGGAGCTAATGTCAAATATCTATCGCCACTCGCTAGTAACTAAATCTGTAGATAGAATTTTGAAACCGGAGGTTAAATATGTATCATCCTTCGTGATGTCTAAGGTTAGCGTCGCAAGAAATGAAATAGGGCACCCCATGCTCCCGTGCTGCGTATCATGCACGGAAATAAGACAGAAATCGGGGAGGAAGCAAGCGGTCGGTTTTTAACTGTTAATTACATTAGTGCGCCGCGAGAGGCGGGCGCACGCGTCGGCACACGTGCGCCGCATGTGTTCTCTGTAAACACGCAGCCAGGGGTCGCAAACCTTTGCTGGTGTAGATACAAACTGAAATTTCCTATTCAATATCACATATTACATCACTTTGGTTGGTATAGGCCTTTCCCAACTTCCCCTCCGACCGGGTTCCCGCCTTGACGTGGCGGAGTGACTTAGTAGCCGTGGCTTGGTCACCCACGGCGAAGCTAAGAGGCACCCACATTGGGCCGGCCTGTGCTGTAAGGCCGGCCGGAGAGGGCCGCTCCGAGTGAGCTAATTGAGCTCACTCTGGATGCGTGCTGGAGGGTGCAGGGGATAGAGTGAGGGTGGTAGAGATGGAGCCACTATCCATGTCTTCTGCTACCGAGGAGGAGTCGCGGGGGAAGAAGAGTGTCGGTATTGCGATGGCCGCGGTCCCTACCCTTCGGGGCCGAAACGTGGTGAGCGGCGGAGCCACAGACCAGGTCCGCCGCTGGGGGCTGGATTGCTGCTTTTTGGCACGAGCTCTTCTGGCTCCCATGGCCTCTCAGGTCAGCGAACTCGGGGGAGTTCGTTGGCCTTGAAAAAGGGGCCGAGTAGGAAGGCGCGCTGAATATTCCAGCGCACCTTGACTGGAGGAGAGGGGGTTGCTCCCCGGGAGTGGGCTGCTGAGTCGCCCAGCGCTGGCAGGGTCACGGATGTGTGCGAAAGCGTTCCCGTGGCCCTGCCGATATGCGCCTGGGTGGAATATCGTGGGGATTTTAGTCAGTGCGAGTCCGACATAACCCACTCTTACCCCCGCTAGGGCGGGTATGCGTAGGCAATTCCCCCACGTCAACAAAAAATAGGCCTCTCCCAACTTACTAAAAATAGTTCGAATTTTGGCTATGTTGTTAATGTCATCAGCTTCAGTTTTACGGCTGTTAATTCAACAATTTTCATTATTCATGCGAACGCCAACACCTTATTGAAATACAAAATATCTTTAAAACTTTTTGTGTGTAATTTCAACGTTTTTATGTGTGAAGGTGGCAAGCGAGCTGGTGATTTACCTGATGTTAAGTGATAACCGCCGCCCATGGACATATGGAACGTAGGGTTGCAGATGCATTTGCCACCTTATAATAAAGATAGATCCGTTTGCCTCACTCACCAGACGAAGAGCAGAAGTGTAACACTTCTACTTCACGCCGATCTTCATTGAGGTAACGGTACCCGAACGGACCTGCCCATTCCTGCAACAGCGAAGACTATTGCGTAGCCCAACACAGTTATATAACGTGTCAATTCAAATCGATGTTTACGCATAGGCTAGATGTATCAAACGAAATAATATTTCAACATCTGAGATTACATCAATATCCACCATCAAGTACGATGGCAGTCAAGCACTGGGCAATTTTGGAGTTAAGAAAAATCTTGCCTTTTAATACTTCTAATTTTTGAAACAGATCAAGTAAATCAATTGATTTGGTATAGGCATTTCATTGCATTCAAGCGATGATCGTGCCAAACGTCATTTTTAATGTTTGGCACGATCATCGCTTGGATTTTGATCTCATTTTTTTTAATTACTTGCTAATCGCACCAAATGTTTAGCGCCCCTGGCTACAGCGTTACTGTAAACAAAGGCCGCGATTGTGACCATCCGCGATCCCGGGGCGCGGGCCGCGCTCCTTTGTGCCGTTGCTCGTCCACTGTCCTTTGTGGGCCCGTCATTATGTTCTCGTCTGTCTGTTATACTGAACGCTTTTTATTTAACTTTTTCAATGGACGTTTTCCTCGGCGGTAGACTGATATAAGCGCACGGTCTTGGCTAAGTTTTGAGTACATTGTCCAACAAATGTCTTCTTATGGTTGCTTAGGAGGCGAATAAAACTGTTCTATTCTCTCCGACCAGGTTACGTATAATAGTAATTCATACATGTCATTGAATGTAATTTTTTAAAATAATTGCGAACGTAAATTCTTGTAACGGACGATATTAAAATAGACAGTTGAAAAATGAATTAGTATTGCACTATTGAAATACTGTCGTGACATATATACACATAAGACGATATTGAAGTTGACTAATAAATTATTCTGGCACCGCTGTAGGAATTATTGAATAATTGAGAAACTCTAAAATTAATATTATTTTCAATAACTGGTTATTGAATCAAATTTTCAATCGGCTGATTGAAGTGATAAATTACCTTATTTACGATAACAATAACACATTGTTAATAGAAATTTGTTTTGCGAATTTTATCACGTTTATTATCAATTTCAATTTTCAAAATTTCAAGCCATCATAATTATGTCACTATTAATCCGGGCTACCGTCAGTTTTCGTATTATTGACTTTGCACTCAAACTACATATATATAATGCTGATTCATGGTGTCCATCTGCAAAGTATAAGAAACATCAAGACGATAAGTTCGAAATAAACCCTAATAAAATCCGTATAAACATAATAGTTTCAATTTATAAAGTGTGAAAATATTTAACATCATTACTGAAGGGAAGCAGGTACAAGCAACCATTGTACTATTCATTTGTTTTACCTTGTTTTATGTTAATATTGAATAGATAATACGCGGAGCATTCACAATTGCACATTACGTTTATTGCTGCAAATACAATACGACTGATGTCAGGAAATTAACACCGTTCAAACGCGGTGCAGTGTCATTTATAGCGACGTTTCATGAAAGGTACAGAAGTATTATGATTAAAATATTCACACAAGTTACACCCATGTTACAAGGCAGTTTTTATCGCTAGCAAACATTTTAGTCGGTTCTCAAGGCACAGTAAATGCACCACAGTGTTGAGCAATAGCCTCTATTACTTTAGTGGCTCACTTCGTCAATTATCATCATCATCATATCAGCCTGTTTGAGTCCACTGCTGAACATAGGCCAATTTTTCGATATTTGTATCCATCGACCTCCTGCAATAGTAATTATCAAAACTGTTTGTTACAAATTCGAAACTCGTCAAAATAATGCCAGTCACCAATGTCAAGCGACTTTAGTTCTTTCTGGCTTGAGGTAATACTTAATTGCGCTTAGATTTGTCGGCGGTACATATCTTATATGGGCGTCAGTAGACGCTTAGTTCAAGGAATCTTTTTTATTCCTTTGTCCAATATTACATGAAACCGAACTACATTATAGGTTGATTAACCTGATTTTAGATAATTTTGGCGTGAGTACCCTCACTTTAGTCATTCTTTATCCTCTTTATATTTCAAGCCATGAAGATCTTAGATTGTTAAGCGTCTTTTGTGTATAGCACGAATATTTGAAGCTACAGCGGACGTTCCTCGCAATCGAACGTTAACGCGCGATCAGTGACCCGCAAAGTATCCGGCAGATCCCATTCAGCGGGGGGGTGAAGGCGTCTGAGCCGCTCCCTGGGGCCACAACGGGCCCCTGCCCACCACACAATGCCAGGCGGCGCGCCGAAGCGAGACGGCCGCCGGAACAATGAATGGACACACACATTCGTCGAGGATTTCGACTGCGCTGCAGAAGATTGGATATTATATGTTAGCTCACTGTCCTTTTGGGTGAAGCTATGAAACGTTATTTTGAGTTTTTGTGCTCGTCTTTACCATTAAGTCGAAAATTAATTATGTGTTGATGAAACTGTGGCAGGGCCACGCAACAGTGTTCGCTGTTGCACGAGTAGTTATATCAGGAAAAGTACCACGACCCCACAGACCGGCGTGAAGTAGAAGTGTTACACTCCTGCGTTTCTTCTAGCCAGTGAGGTAGCTGGGGCCCACTTTATTAATAGTTGGAAACGCATCAGCAACTCTACGAGTGTTGCAAATGTCCATTAGCGATGATCAATTAATACTGGGTGAACTGCCAGCTCATTTTTCACTTACATAAAAAAAAAAATTCTCCGCTGACAGGATTCGAATATGAGCCTTCCGGATAACGCGTCCAAATGTTCTGGACACTAAAATCATATATTGAAATGTTGTAGTTTGTAGAGCGTGCCAAATATACATAATATGTATGTCTTATTATTTGGCTCGACAAACCTTTCCTCCTTCAGCAGTCGGGTACATATACAAAAACATTTACATTTTACGATGGTAGGGCCACGCAGCAGCCTCGGCTGTTGCACGAAAGGGCGGGCCCGTCCGGGTAAGTACCACGACCTCACAGAAGACCGGCGTAAAGTGGAAGTATGACAAATACTTTCGCGTTTCGTACAAATACTTACTCACCAGACGTGAGTGAGGTAGCCGGAGCCCAATTTTGAAAAGGTTATCAACGCATCTGCAAACCCTCGGATGTAGCAGATGTCCATGGGCGGCGGTATTCATTTAACATCAAGCGTCAGCAAGGAACGTCAATATTCTTATGAACAGAAGATGACATGCAAACAAGACGTTCGTCTTACGGTAAGGGATTCTAGATGACCAAGGGTATATACCGTTTTCATCAATGTTTTTGAACTTAACAACACGGGATAATGCAATCCTAAAGTAAGGACAGTGTTTTAAAAAGTACAGCTCTGCCGGCACGTGAACAGACGTATGTATAACGCATTAATGTTATCATAACACGTTTGGGCACCGTAAGCGGTATTTACGATGCAGGCCTCACAACGCGGTCCGGTGACGTCATCGCTTCGTACAGCGGGACACGTGCGAGAGCAATTAGGGCCCGCTGCAGTGTAGATGCTTCCAACTCGCGTCTATTAGACGAATTTATCGAGTTGCCGGTTATTTTAGGCGGTAGGTATCCGACTAGTACCAGATCGACCGTGAAACTGCTCTACAGATTTCACAGGCAAACAGGGGGTAAAACATAACGTGACGAGATTAACGGTCACGCTAAGGTGAAACCTTTAACGCTTTAAAGTATTGGCAACGTTGAAAAGAATTTTACCAGCCCTCGGGTATTGCAGGTGTTCATGGGCGGTGATCACTTACCATCAGGTGAGCCTCCTGCTCGTTTGCCCCTTTCCTCCATAAAAAAAAATTAACCCTTCATATCCTGGAAACGGGTGAGCCGATTTTGTTAATATTTTTAAAAAAATATTGCATCTTATATTCAATCCAATAATTAAAAACAATAATTACGCATATTCTCATTCGGGAAAAATGGAACGTACACTTATTACGTATACTAAAGCCCCATGATGTTCCACCTAGGGGGCATATCGCCAGGGCTGACATTGCCAGCGATGTCCGGCTCAATTAAGAACAACTGAACCAAAACATGAAACGTTCATGGGCAGCGTACTCTCTGGTCCACTGCCCAGAGGCCATGGGAACCAGGAGAGTCAGTGCTAACAAATCAGCAAGTCTACGGCCCTCTTTGTGACGTCGCGACACGGAGGGTAGAAGGAAGCCCTCCACTTGGGGCCCCACCAATACTACAACGCGCGGTGCAGCGCAGTCAAGTCAAGCGATAAGGACAGTTGTCAAACCCAACACTAACATAACAGTCTTCTTCCTCCGCGACTCCACCTTGATTGCAGAGGACAGCGAAATTGGCTCTAGTACTACCCTTAAACAGTGCTCAGCACACACCCTAGATTCCGATAATCTAGAGTGGGTCCAATGAGCCCTGTTGGAGCACCCCCTCAGGCCAACCCAGTGTGGGCTCCTCTTGGCTACTAAGCGCATCCACTGCCATATAGGTGGAAAACCAGACAGAGTCAAAATCATAAACAAAACATATACAAAACATCGACATAAGAAAAGTACATTTCATTTATCGATAGTCATTTTTTATTCTACCTCCGTTTCGTAATGAGGATCTTTTTAAGGAGAGGGAACAGGCGAAAGAAACTCCGTAGGTATCCTCATTTTTGTAAATTTTTTTTCTTAACAAAATTAAAATATTATACAACTGTTTTTTCTTTTTGAAATGGGAGCGAAGAACTCATTCATTCCCAGAGCTTGGTCTATCAACAGGTTTAAGAAATCTATGTATTCATAGATTTCTTAAACCTGTTGATAGGATAGTGGACCAGTATCCTGACCTGCTCTACGCAACGCAACACACGAATGATTCTATTTCTCATCGTTTGTCAACAATCTGTGATCGATCGGCCGAGTTATCCATTTATGCATCGACCGAAATTATTAGGTGATCTACCATATAATTTCGAATGCTTCCTATGGTTAGTTTCAGTTATTTAGTTATGATCGTAACAAAACAATCGTTTCTGCGTTTGTACTGATGTCCAACTGCAGAACAAAGGTTTAATTGTGATCGTAATGTATGTACTATTGCATAGCCGCAAGGCCGCGTACAAATCTCCAAGGGATCATTATCTCTCCCATTCTTATGCACGACGCGATTATTTAATTAGCCGGCCGTTTCCCGCATTTGTCATCTACTGCTGCTGGCTTCTGCATTAAAGGTGCATACACGTTAAAGTGATTATTTTAGAGGTCCAAGTTGTAATCCGATAAAGGTTTACTTACATTTAAACTTTTACATTTACCAAACACAAAATGTAGAGATGGCCTATTTATTAATGTCACACGAATGGGATCAGAGACAAGGGAAGCGCCTTACGCCCGGTTTCTGAAACACTGATCAACGTAGATGTCAACTAATCAGCTGCCAAATGGATTTCAAATTTCATTTTAGTTCCCAAAGGGATGTGTAAACTCTTTGAATTGATCATTCTGACCATAAAGAAGATCATTCTGGTCAATTCAGAGAGTTTAACCATCCTTTTGGTACCTAAATTGTAATTTGAAATTCATTTGACAGCTGATTAGTTGACATCTACGATGATCAGTGTTTCAGAAACCGGGCGTTAGTCTTGTCGCAGATATTATATCAAACTATTTCCTCCGTTAACCTTCTTCCTTGGAATGGACCTCTAATTAGGTCAAATCTGTTCATAGTTTGTCACACAGCAGCATCTTTGTTGTAAGACCTGTAACACTCGACTAACACTGAGGTATTGCTAGTTTATCTCGTTTACCTCACGAAAAAGGTAACCTACACATATTATCGAGTATTACAAGCTGTTACTTGGTTCTGAAGTAGAAAAATATTATGTACTAGCTGACTCGGCAAACTTTGTTTTGCCATATAAATTATTTCTAGAGGAGTCGGAATGCACGCGCAAAGGTTTTTGACAGGTTACACAGACATAGTTGACAGGTACAGATTGTATGGGAAAATAAAAATGTTGCTATTTCGGTTTTCTGTGCAATTTTCCCATAATTTCTCATCGTTTAAACCTTCCCTGGACTGTCACAAATATTTCAAAACCAAAATTAGCCAAATCGGTCCAGCAGTTCTCGAGTTTTAGCGAGACTAACGAACAGCAATCCATTTTTATATATAAGAAGATAATCATCGGTCTCATCGAAATGAAGTCTTCACATCCGCGGTGGGGTCTAACGGTGAACTATGCCACTGTACATAGGAAGCCCAAGCCCAGCATTGGGACATATGGAGGCTGTAATTTTCATTACTCCTAACTTACACGTCTTGTGCCTGAGGTAGCTGGAGACTACTTTATTAAAAGGTGGCAACGCATCTGCAGCCATATGGGTGTTGCAAATGTCCATGGGCGGTTATCCGTTAACACCAGGTGAAACGCCAACTCTCTTGCCACCTTCCAACGTAAAAAAATTCAGCACTGCGAGAAATGTACCCGAAATACTTACGGTACGGTAATCTCAAGATCAACTTTCGTTTCGCTTTTTGGCAACACTTAAAAATTTGTTTTTTAAAGTAACATTTAAGTTTTATCTTTGCAGAGTACTAAAAACAAAAAAGTAAAACGACAATTAATGTCCTTAAGCACATGTAAAGTGTTGCAGACTTCATTTATTTATCGTGATATTTGTTAGAACATATTTTATGTAAGTCAGAAAACAAATATCGATAAATCTAACCAGACAGGTTCCTTTCATCGGTAGATGTTTATCTGCCGTTTGTATTTATCGATACAGCATCGATTTGAATCGCGTTATTATTCAGAGCAAATGTCTTTTGCACTGTGGAATGCGCGGTTGCTGATTAAACATTACCCCGAGAATATATCAGCACCGTATCTGTGTCAGGTGGCCAACACCGGCGGACCTCAAATTCCGAAGTATCACAATAATTACGAACGAAACTAGATCAATTGATACAGATACTAGGTCTTGAACGTGGGAACGTTGAGTTGTCGAGTTCGGTAGTGTTGATTTCGAATAGGCAAACGCGTTGATGACATAACTCCTTCGTTTATCTAGTTTTTAGCTATCTGTAAAAGTCTGGTGTCTAAATTTGCGAGTAGTTATCCTAAAATTCGATAATTAAAAATATCGTCCGGTATGGGAGACTGTTGTATGGAAGCCCCACTTAAATATTTTTTTATTCTGGTTTTTAGTATTTGCTGTTGCAACAGAAATATGAAAAATCGGTCAAGTACCAAAGCCAAGTAAGTATTTTAACTGTCTACTATTATAGTTAATGAGATACAGCCTGGTGACAGACGGACAG